ATAGGAAGGTTGAATGCTTTGAAGGTCACCTCGCCCTTGGTGCACCATCGACTCCTCCGTTTGGTCAATGCTTTGGGAGGAATTGATTTCTGACATTATGATAGTGATTAAGACTATCTACCTTAGTTAGCAATGAAGGCTTCTCAAGAATAATTTTCCCTTGTCGACAATAAAGGTCGATAATAAGGATTTTCTCTGGTTGAATGCTTTGAAGGTCACCTCGCCCTTGGTGCACCATCGACTCCTCCGTTTGGTCAATGCTTTGGGAGAAATTGATTTCTGACATTATGATAGTGATTAAGACTATCTACCTTAGTTAGCAATGAAGGCTTCTCAAAATAATTTTCCCTTGTCGACAATAAAGGTCGATAATAAGGATTTTCTCTTTTTTTTTTCAAAAAATATTCTTTTGTTTTTATGTCCGACAATGAAGGTCGATTTTTTTTTTTAGACTTCCTTCTCGGTTTAAATAATCGGTTGAGCCAAGTCTTAAAACAAGACTCGAATCGGGTGGCTAGGGCACACGCAGAGTCGCACGATTCATCCCTTTAAGTCGTAAGCAGGAGATCGGCTTGCGAGATTCCGTGTGCTTCGGGTCGGTGCGCCTTCGTTCGATTGCTAGGCTTCGTGTCTTCTTCGTTTGGCTGCTAGGCTTCTGGATCGGGAGAAGCTCGATCGGGCAAGGTCGGAGGGGCCACGCATGGAGGCGGAGTCGACAGGCTTCGGGCCGGTTGGAGGTCGGCTGAACAGACTTCCTGCTATTCTTTTGAGTTCGAGCGAGAGGCAGGGCTAGGGTGTCCGAGCGTCAAGCGTCGCTTTTCGCGTCTGAAGCCCGAGTCGAGCCTTTCTTCTTCTTCTTCTTCTTCTTCTTCTTCTCCTCCTCCCTCCTCTACGATCGTTCTTCAACGACGGGCTCTGATACCATGTTAAAACTGAGAATTTGAGAGGGAAAAGCTTGAAATTCTTCATTACAATCTTCCCTATTTATAGATCTATTCAAGATATCCTAATGAGGAAATAATGAATTGCAGATTTAATACATAAATAATACATAAAAATCTTTCCTAAATTTGTTCCTCCATTATGGCGTGATCCACGAGAGTATCCCACGGATTGATCTTTGTGTCCGTCTGATCCTTTGCACTGGGAACGGCTGGATTTCAACACAAACAATATAGCTAGTCCTTAATCATGAAGAATACTGAAAATAGTCGTTATGAAGGGTTCTACAACTGAATAACGCATGCAACTAAATTAAAATTATCTACTTTAAAATAAACCAGAAAATTGATCTGGAATCATTTAAGGAGCTTTCTAGGTTACCATGTGATAAGGCTCTGAATTATGGAGAGAACATGAAAATGGCTCAAATGAAGTTTAGTTGGAGTAATCTATTTTTTTTAATTGTATTTGATTCTTAAATGCCCTGTTCATTTAGAACTCTTGCCAAAAAACTGTCTTCAGGACTGCTAATTATGAAACATTAACCTAACTTTGTGGTTCGAATCTTTTGTACGATAATACAGGGGCTTGGTTGATATGATCCAGGAGACTCTCAAATCCCCCTTAAGATTTTCAGTCGTTTGTTTCAGCCTTAAGGATTCTTTTGTTTCTTTTTCTAGATAACTTGCTACATTGGGGTTATGTTAGGATTGTCGGTTACACAGTATACGTGAGGTTGAGTGGTTTGAAAACTGATTGGGTGTGTCTTGGTGCTCCCTCAAGCAAGAGACCTGTTGTGATATTATATGCCTTATTCCCTAAGATTATGTATTTTCCATATATAGAGTAATAGATGAGATATTTCTACCTGATTTTGTTTGAATTTTAAATAAAATTTCATCTGCTGTCTTATGTAGATTTGTCATTGTACACTAAATTTGAGGGGAAGTAAAAGCCTATTCATCTAGGCACACTGGCACAGACACACTCTTTCCCTGCTGGTACTACTATTATCACGTCCACTATTGCTAATCCTAGTAATCTAGGAAGTTCGCCTGAAAGAACATATAACATCATTGTCGAAAAGTTCTAACTTTTCTTTAATGTTTTCTTTTCCATTTGTTGTTGTTTATATGAACCCTTAATTTTCATCCTCCTCCATATAAAGTTTGCTTAGAATTTGCAAGATGTTTGGTTCAAACAAAATATTATTTATCTTTATGGCTCTTATTACATGTAACCACGCTCTATACCTTTACCTGGAATTTAGCAGTCCAGATATTTGTTTTCCAAATTTGTAAGTATGTAGTTTTTGATCCTCAACTGCTTTTCTGAGCGTCATATATTACTGTGCAGGCGTTTCTGAAACTCTGGTTCTTCACATGTCAACATTAGTTTGGTCGGTTGTTACCTCTGTACAAGGGCGAGTACCTCTTGCCAGTGAGGTAATCTTGTTCTTTGCATGTGGTTAGTATCATATGCTAAAATCATATATTATTTCAGCTTGTTGTCCTTTTATACATACATATATATATATATATATATATATATATATTGGACCAACTAAACAAATTCTCTTGTATTTATATATGTGTTTTTAGAGTATATGTTAACTATGTTTTGTGGAATTTTTTTTTTCATAACTGCTAACTTTGTTACTTTGGGCTCTAAAAAGAATTTCTCCCTTTCTTCTTAATACTTTCAGATTAACTATATCTACCCCTTTATTGATGCACGCTGTGCTTTTATTATAAAATGCCAAAACCACTTAAAGTATATTTTTATCTTTTTATCTTGAGACTTTTACGTAGGATAAAATAGAATGAGAAAGACCCCTTTGAATGTTAGTTCCATAATAGATCACATTGGAATTGTGGTAATTCTTCGTGTAATGATATGTGAACGAGCATGGACTCAAGTTTTGCTTGGTTTTGGTTGGGCCGTGCGGTCATTGCATTATTGTTTTATGGTGATCAATACTAGCATAGATGTTTTATTCTTAAAAAAAATATTTTTCATTTTATTTTCATTTTGTACCCCCTCTTTGCTTCTTCTCTTAACAAAATGTGAGAAGAAAGCTTCTTCTAAAATTGAGCTTTCTCCATGAAAACAAGAACATAAGAGGCACTGCATGTGAAATAGAAAGAAGTATTAGGGTTTATGTAGAGTGGTCTTGAGCAGATTCCGTAACATTTCCTTTTGAAACATTTAAAATTTATTTTGCTGTTATAAAAATTACTTGCAAATTATAGCAGAAGCCATAAAGACATATCATGCATCATCCATGGCCTTAAGTACTTAGGATTGGCTCTGTGAATCCTTCTTTTATATTTATTATTGTTGAATGCCATATGACACGGTTATTCTATTTTAGCGGATCTTTTAACATATTTTCAACTATGCTTCATTTATTCAATTGATTCTCCTTTTTGGTCCTTCCACATTATTTCTATATGCGCTTATTGGCAACACCTTCTTCTAACCATTGTCCTTATCCAAATCAGTGATATTTTTTAAGGCAAGTTGGACACTTGCCTAAGCACCATGCAACGCAAAAAGAGGCCATAATAGCTTGCACACATACCAGGTGTGCACCATTACTAAGGTGTTCCTAGGAGAGCTTTCGTTAAGCTCCTCCAGGTTGTGAGGCAAGAAAATTAATTTGATTGAAGAATTATGTGATAATACTTTAAATGCAAAAGATGAGTTAGTTTTTCATGATTTTAATTTGACATGGGTTATGTGAAAAGAGCATCAAGAGTGTAAGAAACGAGGTTGTGCACTTGAAAACAAGTTAGATAAATTGTAGGCACAAGAACTTAAAGTTTTAGAATACTAAAAATTGAGGATGAAGAAGATGAGCGTTAGGAGATAAATGAAGAGATGGACTAGAAATCTAGTAATAGAATAGAGAACATGAATAATGATAAAGATGGAACAGAGTAGAAATTATGGATTATCCTTATGCTTGCATGCCACAAAGTCCAATAGTTTAATATACTTATTTAAGGTAGTCTATTTATCGCAAAATTTGAACTTGGAATTCAACAAACTTAAAAATTAATAAATTTTCACTATTTCTTTGATGTGATGATAGCATTTTATTTATCATACTTAAAAGTTAGTTGATATGATTATTTATTTTTAGCACCTCATTTTTCGTAGGCTATTGCCTAGGGTAGCAATTAGCTCCTCGGCATTGACATCCATATCGACTTGAGAGCATCTTATGCTTTTGATAACACTAAACTAAGCCACCTAAGTTAATTTTTTATATCTATCTGCCATAGGTGCTTTTTCCATCTTTTCATAATAATTGTTTCTAGATCTCTATGCATTCCTAATTTTAAAGTACATTCATGTTAATATTCTAAATATATCATACTTAATTTGGCCATCTATGCTTATTTGCGACCTAGCACTTGGATCAATATAAGTATAATTGATTAATATATATATATATATATATATATATATATTTAAGTTCCCATGAAATTCTTATTGAATTGTACTCTTGTTGCAATTCTCTAGTTTAGTTTGAGCTGTAGATATTATGTCATTATGTTTATCCTTATTCTTTTATAGAGATCCTAGATATTTAAACCTATCACATATTGGTATCATTTCTTCTTCAAACAATATTAACTAATAATTATCCATGTCTTCTATTAAAAAAAAGATATTATATGCTCAACTTTCTTTTATTAATCTTAGGCCTCTATTTTTTGTAAGTTTTTCTTTTTTTTCTTTTTTTTTTTCATTTGCTTTTAAGGTGGTTTCATCTATAATTTTATCCACAATCCTCACTATGAATATCTTTTCTCACTCTCTTTATCTTAAAAATTGATGAACCTTATTTTGATCATTGATATAATATTATTGTGATCAGAACTCTTTGATCATTGTACTATTAATGCTATTTATTAATCTAAATAATGCAACATCTTTATCCAGAAGTCCCTCATTAAAAAAATGCGCCTAGGTTATAGTTTATAACAGATCAATTTGTAACTGGTGGATCAGACTTACTTATGTTTGCATGATAAGATTTATCTTGTTAGCTTATAAAAAAATAATGAAAACATTTAATTTATAAAAACTCTTGGTAAGGACAACGTAGAGTGTGTTTTGTGCTGCCCAATTTTTAGTTATCATCAAATGCATCAGCATCATTTCTGGAATAGTTTTTTTTTTTTTTTATCGTTTCAATCTCTTGCAGCTGTGTTGTTTTAATTAGTGATACATTGGAATTGGCTCTGTATGAACTTCGGTATTTTAATGGAAGTGGTTTTGTTACAGTTGCCTAAGCTTTCCATATCACCAGGAATTTGAAATGGCTTGATTTTATTAACTGCTGATGATTGGATTAATAACTTTGATGGTAGGGTCTAAGTGTGGTTTTGAGCACGTGCAATGGGGAGGATTATCTTGTTTCATTTGGAGGGTATAATGGGCGTTACAGCAATGAGGTGAATTAGTACTCTACTTGAGTTTTTTTTCTTTTAATCTATTATTCCTTCCCTAATTTTTTTCCTATGTGCTAGGTTTACGTTCTTAAGCCAAGCCACAAGTCAGATCTGCAGTCCAAGATATTTGACAAGCCAACATCAGATAGTATGGCTGCAGTTATCCCATCCACAAATGTTGGCAGGGATGTAGCACCCGAGTCTGAAGCAGCACAAGATGGAAAGATAACAGAGATTATGATGGATAATGTTGATTCAGGAATTTTGGTAAGAAAAAATAACGAATCAATAATTTATTGTCTCATGATTTGGAAAAAAAAAAAAGTTAAACTTGCTTGCCTTGTTGTACGAACTATAGAAAATAGAACGTGGTTAGGATAAATTATGCGTAGAATCTAGTAAAAAAATATGAGATATGGTTGGTTTTGTGTAGCTATTTTTTTTGTTTTTTGTTTAAATAAACAAAAAGCTTTAAATGATTTGCAATCAACTAGTAAAATATAGTTATTAGATATGTTGTCATACTTCAGGCTCTAACATATTTTCTTGAAATGCAAGCTTGCATTTCTATTATCCCAAACCCAAAGAAAAGTTCCAAATGGTTTGAAATTTACCCCTTAGAAGAACTATGTCTCATTCAGTTTTATACTTATTTCTTCCAGTCTTATTCTCTTGATATGCTTTGGGTTCTAATTTACAAAACAAAAATTCACAGCATATGAGAACTGAGGAGTCTGGTGAACGCATCATTGCAGCACTAGAGGCCGAGAAAGAAGAATTGGAGGTTACTCTAAACAGAGAACAGTTGCAGAACATCCAACGTAAGCAAGAGCTAGCTGAAGCAGAGACTAAGAATGTGGAGATTTCAAAGGTATGCTTAGTTTTACGTTTTACTTCTCCATGAAGATTAGCTGTTTTGGGGCTGATTTAGTTCGTTGAAGGTAGGAAATATGTTTTGAAAAATGGTGATTTTACTGGATTCTCTCATTTGGTTGGAAATGGTTAAAAATGAATCTTGATTTTAAACTCTAAAAACACCTTCAAAATTCCCAAATGCTATTATTTCATTTTCACGTGCAAAATGAGGGAATTCAAAATCATCATTTCTATTCTAAAGATGGAACAGTTGCAGAATCTCCAACTTAAGCAAGAGCTAGCTGAAGCGGAGACTGAGAATGTGTAGATTTCATAGGCATGTTTAGTTTTATTTGTTTACTTTTCCTTGAAGATTAGCAGCATGCCGCAGGGGGGGGGGGGGGGGGGGGGGGGGGGGGGGGTTAAAAATCATGAATTTACTGGATTCCATTGTTTTGTTGGATGTAGCTAAAGGTTAAATATTTATTTTAAACTCTTAAAATACCTTAAATTGTTTCATTTTCAGTTACAAAATTAGTGAAAATGCAACCTTTTTTTTTTTCAAACATATTTTTTATCTGCAAGCAATCATATGATGTAATAAGCATATAGATTGATGTATGTTAGCAGGTGGGTGGGGGGCATCTAGCCGACCCAGACCTGGACAAAGTGACCTTTTGGTTGGGTGGAACCAGGGGCAGTAGAGGGGGAGATTTTGGCCCCTCTTATGCGACTCAGGGGGCTATTATTCATTATGTAAGGATGAGGAATCAAGGGGGAGCTATTAAAGAAGGTTTAATTTAAGGGCGAGGTGGTAGGGTGGCCAACCACAATAAGAGACATTTTGGGCAAGAGGAGTGGGCGATTAGAGATGGAGGGGGGCCGAGTCGAGCTGTGGAGATCGGGTCATGCAAGGAGGATAAAAGTGAGGTGTGATTCCCACCCTTGGTGCATGGGGGGAATCATTGGAGGGAGAGGAAGTTGGAATGGAGATGCTAGGGTGAGGAAGCTGAATATATCGATATTGAAGAGGATGATCCCCATGGGTGGGTGTACCGGGTGGAGTTTCATAACACTGTAGTTGGGGGACACTCTGAAGTTCAAAAAACCTACAGTCGGTTATCCGCAGAGTTATAATGGGTAGTGATGCGCCGAGATGTAGGGGACTGAGTGGTAAGATGTGATATATGCTAGTGGCGCATGTATTTTTCCATGACACCAATAGGACTACTATAGCCTCTAGCTCTATCAGAGAGGGTGTGGTGGAGGTGACGATGGACTTCATTGAGGGGTTAACGTATCCGGAGGGAGTTTTTTTTATATTGGTAGTGGTAGATCGTCTAAGCAAGTATGCACACTTCATACCTCTAAAGCACCCTTACACCGCAGTCTTTGTGACTATTTCTGATGCGGACAACGGCACGAAGATTTGACGCATCTATCACAGGAGGCGTCGTAAATCGATGGCTCTAATTTACGTTGTCATTTATGATTTATTTTATGAAGTTTAGCTTTTATTTTATGTTATTTCTTGTTCTACCCCTAGGTTAGTTTATTTGAGTTTGGTGGCCCAAGGGGCATTTTTGTAATTTTTGTTTTTCTCATGATGTGGCCTATATATAGGGCCTTAAGCTATTGTAATAGGAATGGTTGATTAATATGAAAAATTGTTTCCCACACTTGTGTTCTTCTGGTGAGAGAGCGTTAGTGAGATTCCTATGAGAGGAATCGATGTTGTCACCAGCCGCAGGATGGGTTCGGGCTCGTGATTTGAGTCCCTTGGAGAAGGGCAAACGAATCACCCACCAACCTTGGAGATGGCCGGGTTCGTGGTTTTATTCTTTTCGTTATCTTTTCATTTTCTCCTTGTCGACATCCCCATCTCCTCCTTCCACCGCCACCGGCCCCTTCCTCCTTCCCATTGAACCGCCAGTTTTAACAACCCCTTCATCACCCCAACCGAGAACCCCCACCTTTGCTCCAATTATTAATTGCCTTTCCTAAATTGGAGGGATTAAGTTAACGAAGGATTTGAATTCAAATTTATTTATTGCTTAATTCATTCTTAATAATTAGGCATTTAATGATGTCATTAATTTTGAAATAAAATCTCATAATTTTGAATTCAAAAAAACCCCGCCGACCTCCCTTAATCTTTCCCTTGTAATCAATTAGTTTCCATTCTTTCCAATTAGGGAAGAGCTCTTCATTAATGCAAATTTGAATTCCAAAATTTGAATTCGAATTAGCATTATTCACACCATTAATCTCTCCCATGAGATTTTAATTTGAATTAATTCCCAAATCTTCAATCAAAGCTTTAGGAAATAATTCAAAATCCTAATCTCCTCAAATCCTACTTCAACCGAACTTTGTCTCTCCCGTAATTCCTTCAATCAATTTACTTAATTTAATTAAGTGCTTTGGGAATCCTAGCCTCACCCTCTCAGCTACCCGCCGCCTCCCCCTTCTCTCCCTCTCTCCCTTTTTTACGTGTAATTCCAAATTCTGATTGCTGTGGCTGGCCAAATTTCCTCTCAGTTTTTTTTTCTGTGAGAAAAATCTGAGAGTCAACAAATTTTCTCCCTGCTGCTAGCCGAAAACTTCAAAGGCTCTTGTTGGTTGTTTCTTTCCCCACCTCACCTCACAAGTTTTGGAACAAAGGAACCTGAAAATTGCTCGCAGATTTTTTGGAGAAGAGATACTCTCCCTGGCAACGCTATTCTCCTCCAACTCCAGATTTATTTCAGTTTTTGCAAGGAACAATTTCAGATTTTGGAGAGGAGATCCTCTTCGTAGCAAAGCCGGCGTTTCCGTTCTACATCAATTTCTTTCATGCATAAGGTGGTGCGTTTATATGGATTTATAGAATCCATTGTGTTAGATAGAGACAAGTTGTTCTTCAATCATTTTTGGAAGGAACTATTTTGTTTATAGGGGATAGTTCTGAAGAGGAGCACGACATATTATCCCCAGACAGATGGCCAGATGGAGGTGATCAATAGAAGCGTGGAAAGTGGAAACCTATTTGCAATGCTTTGTATCGGATATGCCGAAGATTTGGGTAAAGTGGATTGCTTGGATCGAGTATTGGTACAACACTTCGTACCATCAACAGCTAGACCACCCCTTTCAGGATTCTCTATGAGAGAGATCCACATCATTTAATATATTATGGGCATAACATTGCACCGGTATCTAGTGTAGATCAGTACTTAGAGGAGAGGGACGAGATATTAGCTGTGCTCAAGGGATATTTGTTGAGGGCCTAGCGGATCATGAAGAGGAAGGCTGATGAGCACAAGAGAGAAGTACACTTCGAGTCAAGAGACATGGTTTACTTGAAGCTGAGACCCTACTGGAAGAAGGCACTAGCCAGGAGGAGGAATTGGAAATTGTCCCCACGATACTTTGGGCCTTATGAGATTTTGTAGTGCATTGGAGCAATGATCTATCGACTGGGATTACCATCTTCGTCAGCATTGTAGTCAGTATTTCATGTCTCAAAGTTGAGGCGGGCGATAAGAGAACACACTGTCTTCACTACCCCTGACTTTAACAGAAGATATGAAGGTCATTTTGGAACCCCTAAGAGTAGAAGGGTGTGCCAATGGTAAACAGGAGCACATGAGGTACTAATCAAGTGGATGGATTTGTCAGAGTATGAATCCACATGGGAGTCGTACGAGATGATCACGAGACAGTTCCATCCTTCCACCTTGAGAACAATGTACGTTTTTTGGGGGGAAGCATTGATATGACAAGCCGGGGGAGGGGTACCTTGCCGAACCAACCTTTTGGTTGGGCAGAACCATGTGCAATAGAGGGGGAGATTTCAGCCCCCCTTGTGGGACCTAGGAGAGCTATTATTCATTATGTATGGAGGAGGAATTAAGGAGGAACTGTTTAGGAAGGTTTCCTATTGAGTTTATATTGTTTAGGAATGTTTTCTAATTGTGTTTATGTTGTTTAGGAAGGTTCTAATTGTGTTTTTTGTGTGTGAGGGCTATTTAAGTGGATCATACATGTGCTAAGTTTATTTTCTAGGGTTTGGTGTGAGTTTCTGGGAGAGCCGATCTACCCCTCGAATAGTAGATCAATTGTATATTTCGTTATTGTTGAAGTAATTAAAAATCAGCCCCCATATTTTGTATTCCTGCAATTTTCTTCTATCTATTTTGTTGTTTTTACTTCCAGAATGCATCAAAATCATATAGAGAGCCCTGTCATTATAAATTCCATATTTTTGGGATCTTGGAAACACATATTTGGTGAGTAGGAATGTTATTTTATAGTCTTCGCTGTCTCTTATCAGCATCTGCATGAGTTGCCTCATCCCAACTATCTGGGTTCGGATTTGATAAATTTTCATTCTTCATTCATATATGATGAGTGTTCATCTGTATAAAAAAAAGGGTCACTTGTGTTGACTCTATTCTTTGTAAATGTGTTTGCACATCTTTTAGCAACAAAGAAAAAACAATAGGAAAAGCAAAGCACTGAACTTGAGTGGTTGGAAATTACTGAAATTAACTAGCTGTTAGTTTAGAACAATCTGTATTCTTAATTATTTTTATTGCTGTTCTGTTTATAGTTCCACATTAAGACAATCTTTGCCATAGAAAAACATAGGATGAATGCCTTTCTTGAATACTGTCTTTCTAATTTACGTAGCCTTTAGACTAGGCTGACAGGATAAATATAAGCTTGTGGCCTATACATGCTGATCTTTTTATCAAAACTGAGAATTTAGCTTACTTGATTGCATAAAAGGTTGTTATTTATCCACCATCATGTGGTTCTGAACTTTCCAAGAACCTATTATGCAGGAGCTTCAATCTCTTCGTGGCCAACTTGCTGCTGAACAGTCGAGATGTTTCAAACTCGAGGTATGCACACGTCAGGCCAGGTTGCTTTCGCTATTCTGTTTAGTTTGCTGTGGATTTTGTTAATTACTGTGGTATCTTATGCTATTCCTGCAATGATCTACCTCAATTTACATCTATTCAGAAATGCCTATGAATTAGATCTCAAATCTCTTCTTGTTTGAATGTAAAGTAACTCAGCTATTGAAGTTTTAGTATGCTAATCCACATTCTCATGCGTTGGTGAACGACTTGATGGAAGGGTCAGCTTTCATGGAAAATGTGAAATAGGAATGTGGATATTCATGCATCTAATTCACTTATAAATGTTTTAATGGTAATGTGTTCAAAACAATCTTAATGTGGTCAAATCATCGTGCATAGACATGCTCATCTATTATAAAAAATTTCATTCTACATTGTATCTCTCTTAATAATTGAAGCTCAGGAAAAGCGTTTCCCTATCCTCGAGCTGCTTTGATGTGTAAATGAGTACTTTGGAGATTGAGTTGGTTTTAATCAAACTTCCCTTAATATTAGGTGAATGTTTATTTAGATATGAAATCGATATTTCTTATAGGCGCAAGCCCTTATAGTCATTTTCTCATCCTTCTCGTAAGAGAGCACTCTTGATTAAGGAGCTTGCTTAGTCTTAATTTTGTGGAAAAGCGTTTCCCTATCCTCGAGCTGCTTAGATGTCAATTTTATTGAGCATGGAATGGGTTGGGGAATAGAGGTGATTCAAATCAAGATCTAATTATTTAGTTATTCCAGAGTTATCTGTTGGAAGGCCATAGTGGAGCACTTATTTTGATTTATTATTTTAAATTTTGATAGGAGCATTTAGATGTACTAATGCGTTTGTTAAAGAGGCCTAATGGATTAAAACTTATGACCTTAGGTTTAAAGGGGTATGGGGGTATGTTGTAAGTATTAATGTTTTGAATATTGAATGGCCTATGAAGATGAGTTCTGCAATCTTGTGCTTTTGATCAGATGACCAGAATTGTAATGACTCACCAAGACCCATGATGCATTGGGAATCCATGAGGTCAGACTTGGGTCCTTGGCTTATCTATATAATTGATCGAGTCGACATTATGTGTTTGAATCGAAATTCAAGAGTTGTTTATAAGCTTTGTATGCATCAATCAATGCATTTGGCATATATACACTGATCCATTAACATGTTTGAATTGTCTTTATCTGATATTTACGGACATCTAGAATATTTGTAGGAATGCTGTCACGACTTGACCCAAGAGTTTGGAATATTGAGGCGGGTAGGGTTTTTAAATACTTTTACTAAAATTAAGTATTATCAAAATAAATATTTCTACTTACATAAAAGGTTTCCAAAATAATTTTGAACATTCTTTCATAAACAACTTCCAATATATTGAAAGAGCCCCTTCTTATTAAATTTATTCTATTCCAAAATAACATGTAATCTGCTATGTTTGTACAACATCCATAATATGTAAATACCTTTCTCATGTAGTTCCATGTGGACGATACACAAACTCTCCTCTCACTCATTTAAATCTCAATATCTTTTCATTTAAATAATTATTAAATAATAATTATGAGTTATAAACACAACTAAATTGATAAATCATAGTTCTAAGTTACACCATTATAATAAATGAATCCATTTAAAATTGTAGAATATTTTTTTTTTATTACAAAGATGACATAACAAAAAGATTTTTGAAACATTCTTTGGTACATTAACAACCTGAATGGGAAAGAATCATATTATTATTGTAATACAATCGTTAATGAGCGCTGTCTAATTGTACCATTTATGATATATCAATATCAATATTTTTTTTTCCAAATCTACAAACTAGCAATCATTCACACATGAGTACAAGCGTCTCCATATAGTATCATAAAGGAATGATATCCATCTTTCAGCAAACATATGCTTTTATTTCCATATGCCATATCATTTGCATTCTTTTCATCGTACATTTACTTAAAGTTGTATTTTTGTATGATATTTTATAACGTTAGCAAGAGAGAGATATGCTTCAAAAGCTAGATTAGGACAAAGATTGATGACACAAAAATCTTCAATTAATCCTGATTTGTGGTATGCTATTTATGATTGATCTGAGCTTCATTTATTAATGTTTTGTTTTGCTACATGATCGGGGAGTTAGTTCATTACATTTTCCAATGTCATGGAAGGAAAGTTTCTCCTATTTAATAAATTTTTTACATTAAAAACTATTGCAGATACATGTTACCAAACTGTCTAAGGTTTTATTTGAAACGGTTTTTTTACTGCTTCGTAAAACAGCTTTTTATAAAAAATTAAAATTGTTAACTAAGAAGTTGTTTTATGAAATAATATTAAAGCCGTCCCAAACAAAGCTTAAGACGAGCTAACTATAGAAGCATAATTTGTCTGCAAAGTAGAAATGGATTTAAGCAGTTCATCCTTCTTTACAGGTTGATCTAGCAGAGCTTCGGCAGAAGTTACAGAACATGGAAACATTGCAGAAGGAAGTGGAGCTACTTCAGAGGCAAAAGGCAGCCTCGGAGCAAGCAGCTCTGAGTGCAAGGCAGAGGCAAAACTCCGGTGGCGTTTGGGGCTGGCTTGCCGGAAATCCAGCAGAAAAGTCTTCTGATTACTCATAATCCCTTAACTCTTACCTTCTTCACAGGATTCATACAGGTTTAGCCCACAATATTGACATTCCTTGTATTATTAGACTGTTTGTTAACGGCAATAAATCGTTGGAATTTATGAGCATTTATTGTTTTTAAAGTTTTCCTCATTGGTATAGGAGATGTATCAGTATATCACAATGTTTTTTGGTTCTTTCTTCTTGTATTATTTCCTTGATTCTCTTTTAATTATTATAGTGTTTATTTCACAGGACAGTGACATTATTTGTGAACTGTAACATTTATAGATTTTTTTCTTCCTATTTGAATAACTGTCCATGATCACTGAACTAATTTATGAACTTTGCAGCTCTTTTGGGAGTGAAAGTGAAATATTTTAGTTTTTTTTTTTATTAATTTCCTTGTGTGCAACATCTCTTGGCAGATCTTTTGGTTTGATCAACAGGACATGTAACTCTATGTAATAGTAGCATTGTATGCTCTCAAATTTATAAGATTTAGACTTCATTTTGGACGGCTTTATTACTTTATGTAATAATTTTAGATTTTGTTTGGGATGATTTTTTTACTGCTTTTTAAAACAATTTTTTAGTTGAATTTTTTAATTTTTTAATTAAAAAATTGTTTTTACAAGCAGTAAGAAAGTTATGCCAAATGAAGTTTAATTTTTGTATGAAAAGCTTCTTTAAGCATTAAGAAAATCTTAACAAACTGTAAACCTCCACACTAAAAGCACGAAAAACAAGGCGAAATTGGAGACTTAAGTGAAGGTTGGTGGGCGCGATGTATCACTTAAGTGGTCAAACGATCTATGATAGCCAAGTGGATTGCGTCGTTGCGATCAGAGCGTTTAATTTGACCAAGAGGGGGCCACTCGCGATAAATTCGGACAAAAGTTGTTAAAATAGGTTATTGAAACAAATTTGATGCGTGATGTTGCTCAAATATCATTTAATTGTAAAATGGATTTTGTCGTTCTGTTCAAAGCATTGACAATACCTAAAATCGACTATAACATCGCTCAATGAAATCCACACGTGAAAATTGGCGCAAAATTTGAGGTGATGTGGCTCACAAATCAAGGAAATACACTGTGCATTAGTGCATATACATGCAAAATGCACTATACATATACAAGTGTAACACACAAACATATCATGACAGTATGTACTTTGGGATGAGTAGACATGTTATATACATCTTCACCTAACACATGAACGCTCCATATGCATATACATTGTTGCATACAAAGTACATGTTGCAATATGCATCATACATACACAAATGCATGATGTGAAATACATATAAAATTATACACACATATGGGCCCCGACGAGCATGTTATAGATACACACATGACGTCGGAGGATACTGCACGGGTCAAAAAAAAAAACTTAAGTTTGAGCCTGATCCTTATGCGTGAATATATATGAGTCGACATGGCTCAAACCATCAAACAAATGTACGGTCGTGATGTCGACCAAGAAATTTGTTCATACTAGACTTTCAAGGCCAATAAAAAAGAAAATTCACTAATAAAGGCATAAAACAGACAACGAACTCGGTCTTATGTCGGCAAATTAACAAAGTTGACAGGGTCTGGACGACAAAATGAAATTACCTATAAATATCCCGATGATGATTGTGTTGACAAAAAATCTCAACTGGATGGGGCCTATTATTTATAATGCCTCTCAAATTCTCAAATACTAGTGGAAATAAAAAAAATCTAAAATCAATTTAAATCAATATATTTAAAATGAAATAACTCATCAAATATTTAACGCAAAATTCATCCATCATTCGTAACAGTTTATCAAGGTGGACAAATATGAAAATCACTTCAGCTGACAAAGAGCAAATGTCTAGTCAAAAATACAAATAATATTTATTCTCAAATCATCTCTTGCTAGTAAGAATGTGTCACGTGTCTTATAATCGGTCGTTTCATTGTCAAATGACACCACATGTAAATAGTTATGTCTGGGATCTGACCGGGTGGTTTTGTCGTCAATTGACACCATTAAATTACGGTCATAGTCAGAGCCATATATTTCCTAATAATGTTAAATCATTGAATAATGAATCAATTAGATATGATCGATAGGGCAAAAAGCCTAAGGTTGATTTAAATTTGTCCCCTTAGACAAACATTCACCCCAAGTCTACAATGTATCATTGGACGAAGAAACCCGTTGATGCTGATAAGGATCATTCTGTCAGGTTGGGTCGACTATCTCCTTTAATTTGACTAAGTAGACTAGGGACCATGATGACCTGGGCCCACATAACTATGGGATCTTGATTGGGTTTATCATCACTCCCCCCACTATTCACTTTAAGTTTAAGATGGTAAATTTCTAATTTTAATTATTAAATTTTCAAATACTTAAACATGCTACTAATATATACTAGATATCACGTATATGTTGGATGACTAGCCTTAATCGTATGTTCTCTCTCTTTATGGGGGGGGGATAATGAACAATAGGGGTTTTGTGCCTATAGGAAATATGAACTCATATCATAAAGTCCTAATGAAATGAGGGTGAAATTTATAGGTAATCTCTTATTCACAACGCAATATGCCTTCTAAAAATTTACCTCGAAACATGCTTGTTAAAACTCTTCTTGATGACCCGAACAAAAGAAAGGGACCGCGGAGAGGCCTAGGCGCAAAATTTTCGAAGCCCACACAAGCGAAACCTTAATCTACATGAACTAAAGATTCATTGGGGTGAGTTGGAAGATGGCACATTCAATGAGTGGCATCTAATATTTTCTTGATGGTTAAATATATTGAAAGTTATTTTAATGTTAATAAAAATGCTTATAAATCAAAACCTTTACTGTTTAATATCATGTATAATTTTTTTTCATTCATAACTCATTACTTCTTTTTTTTACAGATTTTACATCGTAATTATCAAAATTTGCATCCCCAATAGCTTATAAATGAGTTGTGCTTTAACTGTAGCATTATTATATTAATATTCATATATAAATCAAGCATGTAAATAAGTTATTATTTTATATGAATTATAAGCTTAAATATCATTATGAATTTATTTTTCAGTCATTATAATAAAATCATCTTTAAAATTTTTACTGACTCCCAGAATCTAACTTGAAAATTTTGTATGTTTTATCTTTTTATAATAATAATTGAGGTTATCTAATTAAAAAAAAAAACAGACCTGCGAAAATAATTCTATTCATCAAAATATAAATATACATTTATATTCAATATTTTAAAAATTATATACAATAGTTATGAGCCATATAATATAATATATTGAGCACGCATTTTTGACTATAAAAGAATATCTAAAGACAAAAAAAAAAGATAAAAGAATAACAAAAACTAAGGAGTTCCGTAACTAATCAATCTCACACTCATGGTTCTCTTCACTGACCAGAAATCATTTAAACTATATATAATGAGCTAAAAAGTCTAACAAGTTATTAAAATATTATAATTAAACTCAAAACACATAAAAAATAGTATATATATGAAATTAATTAATTCATCACTATGACAGTAAATATGATCATAAATATGTGCAGAAAGAGTAAAACACATACAATAACAATGAAGCCTATAAATCATTAAACCAGTAAGATATGGAAACTAGTAAAACAGTATAGTGTTGTACGGATGTCAAAATAGTCAAGAAGTAAATGATCATTTTTAACTCATAAATCTTAGCAATATTACCAAATAAATAATTCATTAAACCAATAAAGCGGTTGTACTCACAAAAACTATTAAAATTTATAACAATACATTATAATATTATCTAAAAGTCATATATGAGTGTACACATTATGTTCAGCTATATTAGTATCAGTGTTAATCAGTAGCTTATAGCATATACTCAACAATAAGAATCACATGCTCAAAACAATGAATCAGTAGCATAATAGTGGATCGACAATAACAATACAATAAATCAATAATAGTATATCAGTAGCAATGAAACAATACAATTAATCATATTCAAGTAATCATACTAAATCGGTAAGGAGTTCTGCCTTACATAATATTGTTCCAGTAATTAGTAAGTTAATAACCGTTGGCTCGGTAAATAGATTTGTCACTCTTGCTCGTCGACACTGTAATTAACTCCTTATAACTTCAAATCAATGAATCACATGAATTAGTATAGGATAATACCAAATCACAGTATTTAAAGAAAAGTTCGTCGGCCTACCATTCTTTATAAATATAAATAAGTCTCCATCCAACGTCTATAAATCACAAGCATTTACTTGTTTTCACACATATTATTACTAAAACATGATCATATTCATTCACAATGCTTACATTAATAATATAATCAAATTAAAATGTCAAAATCACTATTATATGCAATTGTACAAAATGTAAAGGCCATTTTGCTCCCAGGTTCGTCCAGATGAAGTTTGATCGTCCGGGACGATCGGTACAGGTTGTGCAGGAAAACAAGTTTGGCTGCATGGTTCGTCTGGACGAAATTCGGATCGTCTGGACGAAAATTGTCCCGTGAGCAGATCGTACGGGATGATAATTAATTTCGTATGGACGAAAATTTTACAGAGCCAAGTCGTCCAAGGACGGTAATTAATCTCGTCTGGACGAAATTCGTCCAGAGCCACTTCGTCCCGGGACGAACTTTCGATCGTCCGGGACAATCAGTCTGGATATATATAGAAATGAGATATTTTGAAGAGAGAGAAAAGCCCAGGAGAGAGAAAAATGAAGGAAAAAGAAGGAAAAGTGATTTTTGGGCGACTCCCGTCCGTTTTCGTCCATTGCAGTAGTTCAAGAAATTGGTGTACGCAAGGTAAGGCACATTCCGCCTTTCTCAATTTTCAGAACGGTGAAGTTTGAACGATTTTTCTGTCAGAATTTCGTTTTCGTTAGCGAATTTCGTCCGTATTTTTTGATTGGTTCAGTTTTTACCGCGTAACTTTTGGTATGTTTCTGAGGTGCCGAGTGCGCA